CGAAGCTAGCAAGCGTCGGAGGCGGCTCGTGTTCCACCTCGGGATAAGTGCGATACCTGAGAGTATATTCGGAGCGATTTCGAAGGCACCGATATCAATCGGCGGAGGCAGCGTTCGCACTACCTTCTGGCCTTTCTAATTTCGCAGGATTTCCTCTTAATCTCGTAGCTTGCCTTCAGACTCGGCAAGGAGGATCGGAAGGATCTGATCTGAAGTGTCACCGGGAGCCCGTTTTATACCGCTAATTACGGCACGCGCCGGCGTATTTGTTATTAACTCCCACCGGGCGGCGGAAAAAATAACGGTATATTCGCGCGGGGATTCTTATTCGGCGGCTTTCGGCGACGGTGCTCGGGATGCCGCGTGCGGTTCTCAATCGGCGGCTCCCGGCCGACGATGTTTTGTCGGACTTCCTACCCGGCTTTTTCTAAGTTTTAAAAAGTGGGCACACAGCCCTCTGCCCTTGCCCGACCGGTGGTCGTCGGGCGGCAGCTTCCGGCTGATGCATTCCGGGGTGCATCGTTACATGATAAAAATCAAATTTGACTTAAATTAGAATAATAATGCATCCCACAGTTTAAGATCCAATAATTATATCAAGAAAGGCTCGAAAAGGAGCAGAAAATTAATCGATATATGTATACTTCGTCTATCACAATATATCACGAGACAGCTCGAATTAAGTGAAACGATTTCTTTGCGTCGCTTTCTGCGTGCCTTCGATCTTGCAACTTTCCTTCTTGGATCGCGATCCCGAGATAATCGAGCGTGCACCTTTTCCGAGATCGAAGGGAGTACCGCGATATGTCTACCGGTGATTTCTTTTACGCAAGCGATGACGATCGATATCGATGATCTTGGACGACTTTCGCGAACGAAAGTCATTGACACCATATTATACACGATGTGTATGCGTATAAGCACATGCGAATAGGAAGGATAGAAGGTACATACTTGCATTCACCACGGTCTGTCGATGATCGCGTTGGTGAAAGTATTTTGACACTGAAAGTGAGAGCCGCAATGGCGACATTGGCGTTCGTCCCGAATAAGATAAAGAGAGGAAAAAAAGAAGAAAAAGACGAAGTCGCGAAAAAATAATAATTAGAAAATTTTTATATACATGGTGGGCCATTTTAATCGATGCACTCGAATATCTCGAAAACAGCACTCTTCAGAAAGAAATGTTTCAAACAAAAATTGTAGGGTGTGAAGGGGGACATAAGATGGTGTCATTGGTTTGACCTTGGATAGTCGTTTGAAGATCACGTGAAGGTCACCTTTAATTTCTTAAATGGAAACCCCCATTTTTCAATGCATATTCTTGTAGCTTATCTCGAGAGCTTTCCAAAACACTGCAGACAAATGTTTTTTCATTAAGTACTTTTTGAGTTATAACTCTCTTAAAGTCAATCAGTGTATTTTGACTGTACAACAGTGAATTGTCACTGATGACCATAGTTATAAGTATAGCACTGCAAACCAGTAAAATACTGCTGATGAAATCAGTTGACTGCAGTAACTGTTTCGAGCAGTGATATTTGACTGCAGAAAATAGTTGCTATACACAGTACAATTAGTGATATGTACTGCTTTAATCAGTAAATCTTAACTACTACAACAGTGAATATGAACAGGTAGTTTCAGTTGCTGATATAATGCATTTATTTTAATTTGCTATATATAATATAAAATATATAATATAAATATAAATAAAAATATATAATATAAATTTAATGTACATTACTTAATTTTACATTATATATGTATATATAATAATTTATACACATACATAAATATATAATATAGGCATATATTTTATTGTAAAAATTGTTTAATTTTAGTTTTTAATGATACACATAAATTATTTGTTATTTGTTCATATTCATCAAGAATATCAGTTATAATGCTTCCGGTCATTGATACTTTTGATTGTAATCTAATTATTAGACTTATTAAAGAATCTCTTAAATTAAAATTGTCACAAATTTTTAAAACCTCTACATTATTTGAATTTTCAGATATTTTGTTTGCATCATTTTCATTAATAATTATATTATTATACGAAGAAGTGGATTCTGTATTTTCTACAGAAAAGTCATAATTTTCTTTTCGAGAAAAATGAATTTTTCTTATATGACCTCTTAAAGAGTAAAAATGAAGAAATTTTCGATAACAATCTTTTTGACCACATTGAAACCCAATTTTGTCTATTCCGCGTTTAAGTGTCAAACCATGTACTATTGTAAAATGTCTTGCCAAACCATTTAACCCTCCTTTTACAGTATTACGACACATAAAACATTTCAAAGGCTCCATTGCTGATATATTTTAATGAAATTTTTACGCATCTGTAATATTAATAAACATTATTTAAAAATGATTATTTTATAATTATTATCAAGAAATGTACTTTGCAAAATAGAAATGATAAATATATAAAAAAAGAGAGATGACATTTAATCAATTTTTAAATATAAATATATATTTTTGGAATGTGACAGTCGTATAGATAATTTGCAAAAGGAATAAAGTCTGAGATGGCATTCCGAGATGTAACAATAAATATATAATAAAATGTACAATTTTGCTATTTGATGCTTTATATTTTTAAATATGTTTGTTAAAAAAACGTAAAAAAAAATACAAATATACTAACCTTCAAACTTTTTTCGTGTCTCCTCATCTGTTATTTCCTCGATTTTTATTCCTAAATCTTCAATGGATAAATTTGTTATTTTTTCCATTTCAGTCTACAATTGAGAAATAAATATTAAAGATAGAAAGAAAAAAAGTTCACGTGTCAGCAACTACGTATTACATAAAACACTACAAGAATGGTTATGATAACGAAATACATATAATTAATATAAAAAAATTTAATAATTATAATAATAGAATAAAATGCCACATAAAAGCGTTGAACTTACCGTCAATCATTGCGGACGGATAGTAGCTAACGTGTTGTAACTTGTATTAGTTACGACGAACGATGCACGATTGGCACCCGGCACGACACACGTTACTACGAACGCCGTAAACAAAAGAACTGAGAAAATATCGCGCAACAACAAACTGAGCTTTTATTGGCTCGCGGTTTACTGATTTGCAGTGAAATCTTACTTCCACTGCCTAAAATCAGTAAATTGTAAGTCTGAGAACTAAGGTGGGAATATGTTTACTAAATGTCAGTAAATACTCACTGATTGTCGGTGACATACTGTTTTACTGATTCAATCAGCGTTATTTTCACTGATTGACTTTAAGAGAGCGGGAACCGCACGATCGCATCCAGCCCGAAATTATAATTAACATTTGCGTACTCAATTATTGCGGCTGCATCCTCGCCTGTTATTCGAGACCCGAGGCACTACCGTTATTATTGTTACCGTTATTATATAATTTATACTTAAATCGCGCCTCATCGCCGCCCGTTCTAAAACGGACAAGCGATTTATCGACTCACGCGCGAATATCGAACTATCGCGCTTTAACACACTCGCGGCGACCGAATCAACACACACACACGCTCAGATCATTACACACTTATAAACATATACACATACATATTACCATCCACACACACACTTGTACAGTATACATATACAAATAAACGCATCATTTAAACACACGTGCATCTTATTCTCTATACCTGGAACCAACGGCTATCCGCAATCAGAAATTCGCGGTATGGGAAAAACCGTGTGTTACAATCATAACTGAGAATAATATTAAAAATCGCAAAATTACCTATTCTCAACAACATATATTTTTTTTCTTTTCTTTATTTGTCCAATTTACATATTACAATGAAGAATAAATTACATTTCAGAATGTATACAGGGTGATTCATTTTAATCGCCCCAGGCGGATATTTCAAATGCTGTTGAGTTTAGAGAAAAATGTTTCAGACAAAAGTTGTATGGTTTCAAGGGGGACATAAGATGGTACCATTGGCTTGACCTTGAAGAGTTATTTGAAGGTCACATGAAGGTCACCTTCAATTTCTTAAATGGAACCTACATTTTCTCTTTACATATTCTTGTAGCTTATCTCGAGAGCTTTCCAAAACACTATAATTAAGTACCTTTTCGTTAAGTACTTTTTGAGTTATAAGGCTTGAAATCATTTCTTAATTTTACATAAATCATAAAATATCTTGTAAAATATTCATTTTTCGATTATCTTATATTACTACTTTTATGTACAAAATAATGAGAGGAATCAATTGGTCTAAAGAAAACACATAGTTGTTTCTAAGAAAAAATATGTAATTTGCAATTAACAATTACATATTTTTTCTTAAAAACAACTGTATGTTTTCTTTACACCAATTGATTCCTCTCATTATTTTGTACATAAAAGTATTAAGGTAAGATAATCGAAAAATGAATATTTTACTAAATATTTTATGATTTATGTAAAATTAAGAAATGATTTCAAGCCTTATAACTCAAAAAGTACTTAACGAAAAGGTACTTAATTATAGTGTTTTGGAAAGCTCTCGAGATAAGCTACAAGAATATGTAAAGAGAAAATGTAGGTTCCATTTAAGAAATTGAAGGTGACCTTCAAATAACTCTTCAAGGTCAAGCCAATGGTACCATCTTATGTCCCCCTTGAAACCATACAACTTTTGTCTGAAACATTTTTCTCTAAACTCAACAGCATTTGAAATATCCGCCTGGGGCGATTAAAATGAATCACCCTGTATGTGTATATCTTTTAATGTATATTATGAACAAAAGAGAGAAGATTTATAAATATTTTCTACATAATAATCGGATGGAATAATCGAAAAGATTAAGTAATACAGAAAACTTAAATACAAAACCAAGCAAAATAATCAAAAACATGCAATGCAATAAATATTTTAATATATAACAGTATTATTGCACATTAGAGAATGACAACTATATTAATTTGATTATTTTATCAATCACTTTACTTGAGATATTATATCATATAAATTTATCATGTTTATGTATATCTAATTACAGTTGAATTACTCGCGGATGCTATGGGATATGGAAACTGTCCAACCAAGTGGACATCTGTCCGGATTTGTTGATAAAGCTCTTAAACTTCTAGATCTGAGGCAAGTCATGATGGAGGTTGAAACCTCCGTAATGTCCATAATATCTTGTACTGCATGCAAAGTAGGAGCCGGCCTGTTACAACATTACATAAAAGTCGGCAAGAGCGATGAAGAAATCATGGCCAGCATTAATCAATTCTGCGTGTCGCTTAACATACAGAGCGCTCGAGTCTGCCACGGACTCACTCTGCTTTTTGGGGTAAAGTTTAGATTTATATGTATATGTATTATATGTATTATACAGAGTGTCCCAAAAGTCCCGGATCGGTCGAATATTTCATAAACTATGTACTTTAGAAAGAAATGTTTCAGACAAAAGTTATATGGCTTGAAGGGGGCCATCAGATAGTGGCAATGATTTGACATGGGAGAGTCATTTGAAAGTTACGTGAAGATCACCGTCAATTTCTTAAATGAAACTCCCTATTTTTTATTACATATTCGTGTAACTTATCTCGAGAGCTTTCCAAAACATTATAATAAAGTATTTCTTCATTGAGTACTTTTCGAGTTATGAGGCTTAAAATCATTTCTTAATTTTGCATAAACCATAAAATATCTAGTAAAATATTCATTTTTCAATTATCTTACCTTAATACTTTTATGTACAAAAAAATGAGAGGAATCAATTGGTGTAAAGAAAAAACATAGTTGTTTTTAAGAGAAAAATATGTGATTTGCAATTAACAATTACATATTTTTTTAAAACAACTATGTGTTTTCTTTACACCAATTAATTCCTCTCATTATTTTGTATTAATACATAAGTAAGATAAAAGTAAGATAATCGAAAAATGAATATTTTACTAGATATTTTATGGTTTATGCAAAATTAAGAAATGATTTCAAGCCTCATAACTCGAAAAATACTTAATGAAGAAATAATTTATTATAGAAGGATAATTGAAAAATTGTAGTCGACCAAACTAGCCAAAAAATTGAGTTTATTAATACGACGTTTCGACCATATGGTTGTGGTCCTTATCAAGTATACACTAAAAAAGATTTATAAATAAATAAATTAACAGTTTGAATACATAGCAACGCACGAAGAATTAAAGTGTGAAAAGATTTTTACCGATGTAATAATAATCAGAAGGCAAGCATTAATGGTAAATATGTGAAACAACGCAATCACGTAATACAAAAAACGTTATTTAACTAGATTCAAATTTGAGAGAAGCTGATGCGTCCGTGTGAGACTTCGTCAAGAAACTAAACATAACCAGAGGAACAACGATACTAAGTGACCTTTATCATTTTGTCGTAAATATTATTTAAACTATCTGTGTCTTTCTGTAGGTTGATTAGATTATTAAATCTCTTGATAAAGAACATCTCAGCTATCTCTCTTTTACGAACGTACTTTTCATTGTGCAAGATATTAGGTTTCGACCAATCGAAATCGTGTCCGGATTCCAATCTGTGTTTGCTAATAACGGAGTGATTAGACTCATGTAACTTTATATTGTTACAATGTTCTTTCACTCGGGTCCGCAAATGTCTTTTTGCCCAATGTATGACAGATTGCAATCATTACAATTTAATTTGTATACAACACTTGTCTTGTCATTGTTGTGTAAGCTGTCTTTACCACATCTAATTAAGTTATTTAGTTTTTTTGTTACTTTGTAGACAACGTTGAAACCACTGTTTCGTAGAAGACGGTAGAGATCTTGATTCGTATTCTCTACGTATGGTATAGTGATAAAATGAGTTTTATCTGGATGAGTAGACTTGGCGTCATCAGTATTATTGCGGTCGAGGTTGTTTAAAAAATTGATTCTTTTTCGAATGTGTCTATGAATAATGTGTTCAGGAAAACAATTATTAATTAACGTATCATATATATTAACTTAATATTCTCTTGTTTAAAGCAGTCATCAGATAGTAAAATGGCATGGTCAACTAAATTATAAATAGTATTAATTTTCAAATGGTCAAATCATTGCCACTATCTAATGACCTCCTTTAAGCCATACAACATTTCTTTCTAAAGTGCATAGTTTATGAAATATTCGACCGGTTCGGGACTTTTGGAACACTCTGTATATAAAATTAAAAGATAAAATGATGTATATAATATGTCCCACATTTGCTTAACCGTTTGAGGACCAAGCGACGCGACCGCGCTCCCCCCGTCCAAAATACTCAAAAGTACCAGCGCATCAATGTCTGTAAATTCACAGTAAGTGCACGCTCGCTTTTTTTCGAATTGTGTGACTTAAACAGTACTTTTACTAGTTATGTTCAAAGGAATGTCAGAGTAACACTAAATTTGGAAAAATAACAGGGTGCACACTCAAATCTTGAAAATAAGTTTCCTGAGAATTCCATGATTTTCCAAGTATTTTTGTTTAAAACTCCAAGTAAAATTAAAATAATTTATCGTACGTAAACTTTTAACATAAATTGAAAAAAAAAACATTTTAATAGATTTTAATAAAATTTGGACGACACAAAAATTTTATTATGTATATAAAATATTATGTATTTTATTATGTAAAAAAATATATATATATTTTTTTAATGCTCGAATCTATTCTTCAAGAGCATTCGCCTGTTTTTGAACATTCTCTAAAATTCTTATATACGCTTCTTTTACCTAATTTTTTCATCTCTAAAATGTTTTTTCTTTTTTTAAGCTTCTTGCTCTACAATAGACGCTCGATATCGCTCAAGATATTCTACACAGAGCGAATGTTTACACTTAGAATATAAAAAAATGATCAGAGAAGTAGTTTTTAAAAAATTCTGAGTCTTAATAAAATTCCATGAGAATTCTCTGATTTTCCAGGTTAAAATAAAAATCCCTGAGAATTCCAGGGTTTCCAGTTTTTTTCCGGTAGTATAAATCCTGAATAACAATTATTGCTTATAAGTAGAAAACATGCAATCGCGCTTGGCATTTTCCGAAATGGAACCGAACAAGCGTTATCGCGCCGCTTGGCTCTTTTCCACTCGGAATTAGACAAGCGCTATCACGCCGTTTGGCATTTTTCGATCGAGTTTCTACAAAAGTCCGTGGCACTCAAACGGTTAAATCAATATAAAATGCAATCATAATAAAGAAATTTTAATAAATTTCAGTAATTAAAATTGTAAAAAATTCATTAATATTAGAATTAATAATTGTACCAATTTTGAATTAATTGAAGTATCCTGATTATGAAATCAATTTTGAAAATATTAAAAATATTTTTGAAAATATTTTTGAAAATATTGAAAAGGACGTTTTCCTTCAGATTTCGGCGAATAACATTTCAAATAACTATGATTAACAAAAATATTTTGTTTTAATTATAAAATTCGATGAAAAAAAATAAAAATTCATATTTAATTCATATTTTAATTCAATAAAAATATTGATTGAATGTTTACAAGCATTGCATCTTTCTCGATTTCTTCTTAAAAAAAAACATTGATATCCATTTATGCCTTGATCTTTGCTCATTTTTAATGCTTAAGTTAGCTATTTTTATTTTATTAATTTTAGCAATGGTTCTTCTTCCTTTTAATTTTTCTTTTATACATCTTGCCCAAGTCTGCTAAAAAAATATAATGAAACTAAGACATCTTACTTAAAATGTGGAACATTTTTACATTTTAAAGAAAAGCACATTCTAATATATCGAATAAAAGAAGCATGTTGCAACGACTCTCTGTCATCGAATTCTATCTTCATAAATACAATGAAAATATACATATATATATATATATATATATATATATATATATATACACATAATGATAATTACTTTTATAGACTAAAAGGAGATGAGAAAAATATTTACCAACAAATTTTACAAATTTTTGAAAATTATTGTGATTTTATACTTTTTTAAATATAAAATATTACACTTTTTTAAAATGTCGCATACAAAATTCAGTAGTTTCGCATTTCAAAAGTTCTGTGATTTTCCGATTGATTGTATGTGTACTGCCATATATCAATCCCCAATAATATTCATTTATTAATAAGCTCATTATATTTGATAGGAGCAAATAAATGAGGCATTTTTCCTGCCGGGACGTAGACACCGTTTCTTTTACCCTGTATAAAATGAACAAAAATTGAAATTAAAATAAATCTGCATAGGGGGAAGTGATCTACGTTCTGAAACAAGTGAATATGGGTCCAGCACAAATCTGCAGCCTCATGATCGGCGATGCATGCGACGACGCGTTTAATCCACTACACGAATGGGAGGTGGCTTTTCCACCAGTCAAGAAACCGCCAATCAAACCGCCAATACCTCCGCAGGAAGGCGCGCCGACCTTCAAGGTGTTGCATATCTCCGATACACATTATGATCCCTATTATCAGGAGGGCGCGAATGCCGAATGCAATGAACCGCTCTGCTGTCGGCTGACAAACGGCGCTCCTTTAACGGCCTCAGCCGCCGCTGGACGGTGGGGCGATTACAGAAAATGCGATACACCCAAAAGAACGATCGATCATATGCTCAAGCATATCGCCGACACGCATTCAGTGAGTAACACGTCCAAGCAATTAATTAAGCCGTCACCATATAAAACTTGCAAAGAAATGACGAGACATTTGCTCTTAATTGCCGTACAAATATTAATAATGTGTTTCACTGATGGGAAAAAATTTATTTATATTAAGTATACAGGGTGTCCCAAAAGTCTTGGACCGGTCGAATATTTCATAAACTATGCACTTTAGGAAGAAATGTTTCAGACAAAAGTTGTATGGCTTGAAGGGGGCCATCAGATAGTGGCAATGATTTGACATGGGAGAGTTATTTGAAAGTCACGTGAAAATCACCGTCAATTTCTTAAATGGAACTCCCTATTTTTTATTACATATTCGTGTAGCTTATCATTTTTTAATTTTGCATAAATGTGATTTTTTTACACCAATTGATTCCTCTCATTATTTTGTACATAAAATTATTAAGGTAAGATAATCGAAAAACGAATATTTCACAAGATATTTTATGGTTTATGTAAAATTAAGAAATGATTTCAAGCTTCATAACTCGAAAAATACTCAATGAAGAAATACTTTATTATAGTGTTTTGAAAAGCTCTCGAGATAAGCTACACGAATATGTTATAAAAAATAGGGGGTTCCATTTAAGAAATTGACGATGATCTTCATGTGACTTTCAAATGACTCTCCCATGTCAAATCATTGCCACTATCTTCACTATAGCCCCCTTCAAGCCAACTTTTGTCTGAAACATTGCTTTCTAAAGTGCATAGTTTATGAAATATTCGACCGGTCCGGGACTTTTGGGACACTCTGTATAATAAATATGATGTGTGATTTTTTACAAACAAAAAATTAATCGTCATTGATATAAGTTGGAAGGGAAATAATTTTTCTTTATGATTGAAAAAATTTTCAGGATATTGATTACATTTTGTGGACGGGTGATTTGCCACCTCACGATGTGTGGAATCAAACGCGAGAAGAAAACCTTAAAGTATTGCGTAATACGGTCGCACAAATGGTCGAGATGTTTCCCGGCATACCAATTTTTCCTGCGTTGGGAAATCACGAAAGCGCGCCGGTCAACAGGTATATATCAGCTATCCACTTAAACTCACCTCTATCTCATCTTGGAACTCACATCTTATCACTTTCCCTTTTCTAGAAAATATTCTTTCAGATACAAATTATTCGTCTTGTACAAAAATTTAGAGAAAATTATTTTTTCCTTTACAAAAATTTATTCTCTTTTACATAATACAAACATTTCAAGATTTAAACAAAATTAATACAATAAAAGGGCAATAGCGCAAGAAAGAAGAAGAGAGAAATGACTGATTAAGCCATTATAAAATTTTCTTATCCGATTAATTAAATTAATAACTTTAGAAAAATTATTTTAGAAACATTCAGCAACAATAATACAACTGTGAAGATTTCTATTACATTCCATTATTGCTTACATATCAAAATAAAAACTCTTTAGAGACAAATTAATTTCACTATAAAAAATATTTTTAATATATTTTTGGAATCAAATTCTTTCTAAAATGAACAATAACAGTTAAAACATTCCTTTATTTTAGTTTCCCACCACCCTTTGTGCCTGAAGAAAATAGTATCTCATGGCTGTATGATGAGCTTGACAAACAATGGCGACGCTGGCTGCCCGACGGTGTATCACATACTGTCCGTCGCGGTGCCTTCTACTCCGTTCTAGTTCGACCAGGCTTCAGAATTCTCTCTGTGAATATGAATTATTGCAACAACAAGAACTGGTGGTTGTTGATCAATAGCACTGACCCGGTCAGTGAGCTACAATGGCTCGTGTATGAACTGCAAGGTGCCGAAATCAATGATGAGAAAGTGCATATAATCGGTCATATTCCACCTGGACATTCGGATTGCCTTAAGGTGTGGTCGAGGAATTACTATCACATCATCAACCGGTTGGTACTTGATTGTTTAAATCGCTATTGTAAATTGCCACCGAGCAACACTTAAATGCATTGTGTAACAAATGTCCTTCCTCTATTTACTTAGCTATGAGTCAACAATCACGGCCCAGTTCTTCGGGCATACGCATTATGACGAGTTCCAGATATTCTATGATACATCAGACCTCGGCAGAGCGCTCAGCATCGCCTACGTCGGTCCTTCAGTTTCGCCATATTATGATTTGAATCCCGGCTACAGAATATATTATATCGATGGAGATCATTCAAAGACTACAAGAGTAAATAAAATGATATTTTCTTTTCTCATTAGTATGATTAATAAATACGCTGATAGACTTTAGTCGAACAGTCTGTGAAATTCTTTTTTCATATATGTATATAAAGGGATTATTTATTATTTTCAAATTAACGCGCACATTCTAGATGGTCATCGATCACGAGAGCTGGGTCATGAATCTCAAGGAAGCAAATCTTTACGATTATCCGATCTGGCATAAGTTGTATAGCGCGCGACAAGCCTACCAAATGGCATCGCTCTTACCAAAGGACTGGGACTCCCTAATTGACAAAATGACCAACGAACCAGCCCTCTTTGATCTCTATTACAAGTAATGATATCCCCCTAATACAATACTAATCAAAAGTATAGCATCATCCCCAAAAAATACAGAAAACGCAAATAAATGATAAAGTTTATTTTTTATCTTCTAGCCGTTTCTCTCAAGTTCACAAAACTAATAAAACATAAAATAACAGTAATAAAATATAATTTGGTAATATTTATATTATTTTGTTCATTGAAGAGTAACGATCTCTCTGTTTTTTAATAATGCAATACTTTTGACTGATACTATAAGACAATGTAGTTTATAAGTTTTATACAAAAAAAAAACAAATATTTTTTTAATTAAAAAATTGGAAAGAGTTATATATCATAATATATTAATATATTATTACATAATATATTATTGTTACGCCGGGGGCGAAGACTTCGATATACAAGGTAGGGCAAAAATTCCGGAACGGCTAAATATCTCAGAAAATATATCAGAAAATATTAATTTTTTTGTAAAAATAGTTTCGATAGAAAAAAATGGCTTAAAAGATCTATTAGCTGATGATATTTATTTGATTTTGGAATGACCTTCAAAAGCGCGGTCAAGGTCATTATAAAAATCTTAAATGGCAACCCCTATTTTTTATTACATATTCTTGTAGCTTATCTTGAGAGCTTTCCAAAACACTATAATTAAACATTTTTTCATTAAATACTTTTCGAGTTATGAGGCTTGAAATAATTTCTTAATTTCACATAAACCATAAAATATCTAGTAAAATATTCATTTTTCGATTATCTTACCTTAATACTTTAAGTACAAAATAATAAGAGGTATCAATTGATGTAAAGAAAACATATAGTTATTTTTAAGAAAAAATATGTAATTGTTAATTGTAAATTACATATTTTTTCTTCGAAACAATTATGTGTTTTCTTTATACCAATTGATTCCTCTCATTATTTTGTACGTAAAAGTATTAAGGTAAGATAATCGAAAAATGAATATTTTACAAGATATTTTATAGTATATGTAAAATTAAGAAATGACTTCAAACCTCATAATTCGGAAAGTACTTAATGAAAACTAACTTAATTATAGTGTTTTAGAAAGCTCTCGAGGCAAGCTACAAGAATAATATGTAATAAAAAATAAGAGTTGTCGTTTAAGATTTTTATGATGACCTTGATCGCGCTCTTCAAGGTCATTCCAAGGTCAAATAAATACCATCAGCTAATAGATCTTTTAAGCCATTTTTTCTATCTTAACTATTTTTACAAAAAAATTAATATTTTTTAAGATATTTAGCCGTTCCGGAACTTTTGCCCTACCTTGTGTATCGAAGACACGCACTAAAGAGAACGACTGTCGCAGATCGTGTTAAATAAATAAACACTTTTAAGGATAATGAAAAACTTTAATGCGAAACACACGAACAACAGATTAATAACACAATAATGGCTCGTATATGAAAATGCATTCGGACAGCTATCTTCCGACTCAATTGTTCTTCTCTTTTTAACAACCGTTGACAACCAGATGTTCATCTTTTGCAATACCGACTCGACGATCAGGGACGTAACAATATTATACATAATATATTAATAAAATTTATTATTATACGAAGATATATATTCTTTTATTTTTAAATCGATCGATTGTAATAAGCGAAAATATTATTGGCAAATTAACAAAGAAAAATAAGAAATTCGATATTACTCCGAAAATAATGCGACGTATTTGCTTTCGATTTTTACAGGCATTACTATAAAAATTCTCCAGTGCGACCGGCGTGCAATGACGAATGTCGCAAGAGATTGCTCTGCGATTTGCGCAGCGGAAGAAGTCACGATCGGAAAGCGTTATGTCAGAGTTTAATTTTGTTTTGTGTTTTGTATTATCATTTTCTTTTTTTTTTTAATTAAACTTTTCAAGATATATGCATATGATTATTGCAGTGTATATGATTGTTCATATTTTCAACGATTTTTTATAATAGATATATTACAATTCATTTAATATCATTTTTCTTTTAATATTGAAAATAAAAAAGAAATATGTCTATTTTATAGTAAACATTTTTATTCAGTTGGCGCAACTTTTTAATATTATTTGTAAGAAATTAAAACAATTATTTTGTACAATTTTTTTTAGTTAAAATATTTTAAGTTTTTATTTTCAATTAGCGTAATTTTTGGATATCATTATTTTTCTAGGATATAATGTAGAAAATTAAAACAACTATTTTGTATAACTTTTTTTGGTTAAAGTATTTTTATAAGTTTTTATCTTCACTTAGCGCAATTTTTTTGATATCATTATTTTTGTAGGATATACAATACAGTAGTTTTTTTACAGTTAATAATACACTATTTTGCAAATACATATACTGTTTTTTACGCGACTTAGCACCTTTTTTTACTTTTTTTTAAAAAGAGTTTATATCCACAAGAAGATGGAAAAGCCTTAACTCATTAATTTATGCATGTATTGTAATATGTTGCTTTCCCTATACATATTGATATCTTAATTTATGTGTTAAGTGTTCATTTTTATCTTAATTTATGTGTTAAGTGTTCATTTTTATCTACGGAGCGAATTTTTATATACATATGTACATGAGAGAAATATATATATCAAAGAGCAATTCAAAGAAATAAATTACTAATATTTTTATAAAATTTACTATTGCCTTTCCTATTATTATATTTTATCGCTGTTGATTTGATTTGAATTAAAAAGTGCATCAACAAAAGTACATCAATCAAATGCTTTATTATGTTGAAAGAATTATTTCCTCGGAGGATGTTTTAACGTAAATTTTACATTGTATATTATTGTGTATATTTACTTTTTATAATATCAATTTACCCATATCAAAAATTTGTTGCAATATCTCTATCATGTTCGTATTTATTGGTTAAATGAAAAATATTAGCAAGTTTAATTATGGTTCCATAAAACAGTTCATTCATTCATGTATAAAAGTTTATTCTTAAATGTCTCTCTCTCTCTCTCTCTCTCTCTTCCTCTCACTCTCTCCCTCTCACTCATTCTCTCTCTCTCCCTCCCTTTCCCTCTTGTCACCTCTCCCTCTTTGAAATATAAAATATAAATATCTATAAAATATATTAAATATTGTCAATGTAAATGTTTTATCATCAAAATTGCATTATACATTATTTTACTATTATTGTTTAATTTTATCTCATATTGTTATATCTAATTTTTTATTGTGAGATATTACTATCATGAATATAACATATGATGAGCTTTTATATATTTTTTAAATGTGTATTTCTTTTCAAGGGAATAAAGTGCTCTATAAATATGAAAACTTATAATGAAGATTATAGAAAATCTTATCCATATAAAATTTAACCGTTATTTGCCTCACAAATATTATTCAAAAGACAGACATGTCGCGTTTAGCACAAATGTTGTAAATATTGGAACCAAGTTCGTTTAGCTAATGCTTTATCTAGATACGATTCAAAAATGTCATTTAATTATAATTCCAATGTAACTGCCCCCTCTCAATAATTTCTAAAATTGAAAAAATATAGAAATGTACATATAAGAAATCGAGTAAAAATTTTTTAATCCGAATAATAATTAAAGGCTTGAATTGTTACAAATATTTTAATTAAAAATTCTAGCAAAATAATAATATTTATTTATTGATATTTATTAATGATACAGAAATGATTATAGAAAAAAATGTTAAGTTGAGAATTTATTATTAAATTAAGAATATTGAATCACAAATTTAATATTAATTATTGTATTTCTTTGTTTTAATCTTTATTAAATATACTTGAAAGGCAGGTTATCGAAAAATTCAAGCTAAAAATTTAATAACAGCTTCAAAAATTCAATAACAGATATATAAATTTAAGAGCAAATTTTAAAAATATTACATTATCGATTTTAAGGGCGTTTATATTATAATTTTAATTTTTAACGGCTTTAATTATCCACGGTATAAATAAAAATATTAATGTATTTGACAAGAATGTCTTCACCTATTATAAAATAACATTATTAAACCAATACCATATTAAACCAATACACACAAACCAGGCATGCTAGGCAGATTTAGATAGTCTAGCAACATTTGTATGTATACAATCATATCATATGAACAGGAGAAGAAAGAGCAGGTAGACTTTGGATATGGGATTATTATACAATAACGTGAATCACAATGTATCAATGTTTGAACATGTGTCCATATAACGTTATTTTATAATAGGTGAAGAAATTCTTGTCAATATAACAAGGCTTATGCATATATTTTACTTGGTGCATTTACCAAGATATAGATTCTCATTTTTGAGAATTCTATAAAACCCTGAGGAGACGTAGACGAGAATCGGGACGAAGTCGCTGAATCGGGAATCGAACCCGAGTCTTTCGCTTGCCGGGCGACTGCTCTTACCACTGAGCTATTCAGCCCCACACCGACATCACTCTCGTCTTGTTTATAACTATGGAAAATGAAACGCGATCTTTTTCAGCTACGCATGAATTTCATTAGCACAATGTTCAGCGTAGCAGTGCTAAATTTTTTAACTAAAAATTTTTTTATATGTATCAATTTTTAATTTTTATATAAATTTTTAATTTCTTAAATGGAACCATCTATTTTTTATTGCATATTCTTATAGCTTATGTCGAGAGTTTTCCAAAACACTATAATAAAGTATTTTTTCATTGAGTACTTTTCGAGTTATGAGGCTTAAAATAATATCTTAATTTTACATAAACTATAAAATATCTAGTAAAATATTTATTTTTCGTTTATCTTACCTTAATACTTTTATGTACAAAATAATGAGAGGAATTATTTGCTGTAAAAAAAAAACACATAATTGTTCCGAAGAAAAAATATGTAATTTGCAATTAACAATTATATTAACATATTTTTTCTTAAAAACAACTGTGTTTTCTTTACACCAATTGATTCCTCTCATTATTTTGTACATAAAAGTATTAAGGTATGATAATAAAAAAATGAATATTTTACTAGATATTTTATGATTTATGTAAAATTGAAAAATTATTTCAAGCCGCACTCGAAAGTACTCAATGAAAAAATACTTTATTATAATGTTTTGGAAAGCTCTCGACATAAGCTATAAGAATATGCAATAAAAAATAGGTGGTTCCAGAAGAAGTGGTTTAAGAACCCTAACAGCACACATGTCCGAAAGATATCCAAAGGATATCCATAGGATATCCATAGGAGATCGGGATATTCTATGGATGTCCTTTGGACATCTTTTGGACATGTGTGCTGTTAGGGAAATTAAAGGTGTCTTTGATCTGACCCTAACGATGCCATCCAAGGTCAAACCAATGACACCATCTTATGTTCCCCTCAAAACCATACAATTTTACCATATAATTTTTGTCCAAAACGTTTTTCTCTAAAATGCTTAGTTTTTGAATGAAAAGGGGTGTACGGGTGGTCTAGGGCACTCTATGGCCGGTATTCATAGTCCGATCTTATATTTAAGATCGTCTTAAGTCTGCTTGGAGGTTGACTTAAGACCTCATTCAACCAATCAAATAGCTGCGTAGCATTTCAAGCTCTTCAAGAACTTAAGACGATCTCAAATATAAGATCGGACTATGAATACCGGCCTATATACATAGTAGTTTTAACATCACGGAGCGCCGCTAGCGCAATCTTATGTCGAATGCGTCAACCGTACAACTTTGTACGCTTGCGCATTGGGGACTTGAGCGTTGACCAAGGAGACGTTTCTTAATGAAAATTTTTCATATTTCGACTTTGGATCATAATATTGCTGTTCACGATGCACGTAGAGCAAAAATAAAGACACTTTTCCTATATAAATCAAACTCAAGCTATCAATTAAGCCTAGTAAGAACTCGATCCGTTCAGCGATTATTTGAATATGATAATCTCGAATATCTCAAACTATCCGACTCGCGTAAAGATACACGGAGCGTCTTGTTGCTTACACGGGACTTAGCACAAGACACTACTGTGTCTCTTGATTTTGGTATTTATTTTATTATTTTTACTCGATTTGTTTGACTGCTGTGACATTGCATAGCATATAATTATCAGAGATATGTTATTAGAGATTATTTGAAATAGATGCATTTAAAATGGAAATACAAAATGTAAAGTGCCTGTTTTGTATTTTACACTTGAAATACATTTTTTCAAAAACTATTTTCATTTTCATTTAAATGGTTTTTATTATCTATTTTCTATTTCAAATGTATTTTTCTTGTAAATTAAAAATTAATCGATATATCAATAATATGTATGTACTACCTAATGATGCCACTGGTACCACTTCTTCATTCTGGCATCACTGGTTCTAAGCGTGCATATATGGCTATGTTCTGGAATTTATTGATAGTATTGCCAGCATATCATCATCTTTGTTGTTCATCAAATGTTAAACAAAAATAATGATATGCTGGCAGAAATAATGATATACTGCCAATAATGACATACTGCCAATGAATTTCGGAACACAGCCTAAGTACGCGTTGTTTAGTTGTTGTGTAATACGCCGTAATTAAATTATCAACAAAGCAATTACTACAATACAGCCAGTTATAATGAAGATAACGAAGATGATGAAATTGTTGAGGACAATGATTTGCTGCCACAAACATTTTCTGAACCTGTCAAAGACTACGTAAGTGATTATAAACTGTCTAGTTACGAAAGATGTGCCACGTCCACTTTACATTTAATTACAGTGGTAGACACTAAATAAGCAATGGTAGAAAGGAATGCTTCTAAAAAAGTCCATTATTTTGCTTTAGGGAAGTCAATCACTTTGGAATTTATGCGCGAAATTACTGAAAGCTTGTGAAACTTATTTGGATACAACAGGAAAATCTTCTACTTCTCCATGTCCGACAAAGTGGAATTCTTATTACGACTCAGTAAATACGATATCCTAATTGTGAAGGAACATTTCAACGAAGCACTGAAAATTTTAAAAATTCCGCTCTTTAAAGAAACAGATTTGCAATTTTTGAGCGAATACATCAAGCCGTTTAAAGCCGATAGCCGAAGCCATACAAAGTTTACAGGGAGAAAAAAATACTATGGAATGCTATTGCTTGAATTGATAAGGATTACCATAATTCTTTCGTCTCTGAAAATTGAAAATTTTAAATATTATGGTCATTTAATTGAAGTAATAGAGAGAAACTTAAAACTGCGGTTCAAACAATTTTTGCTTTTCGAATCAACAATAAATGCCATGGTATTAGTAAGTCATCCTTTTTTTAAAATGAAATGGATACCAAAAGAAAGAAAAGGACATGTAAAACTATTATTTTTAATGGAAACAAGAAAATTGAAACAGAAAGAAAATGATCAAAAGAAAAGTAGTATGGAAAAAAGAAAAGGGATGAATCATATTTTATATTCCAAGATGACTCAGATTCATCATCTATAAGCGAGACAACAGGAGATTTGGAGACTCTTCAATACTTACAAGACACATTATTTTCAATGTTAAAATCCTATCCAACCGCTAAAAAAATATTTCTTAAATATAATACGTGCCTTCCGAGTTCAGCCCCAGTAGAACGTCTTTTCTCGTATGACGGATTAATTATGAGACGTTGCAGAAGGAAAATGGGAGATTCCCTCTTTGAAAAACTTGTTCTTCTGAAAGCACGTTCCACTTCTATTGCAACCAATATGTTGTTTTAAAAGAATATAAACTGAATATACAACGTCAGTAAACATTTTTTGTAATTTCATATGTAAATGTTTATGTTCAATTTTTGTAATTTAAATTTATATTAAAAGATATAAAAATAAGTATAAGAAATATAAATAATAAAAATAAGAATTTAATATAAATAAATATAAAAATGTAAATATTTATAAAAACCATTTTCATTTTAAAAACCATTTTAAAAACCATTTTAGAAATGCCTATTTTCCATTTTCTATTTTAAATGAGTGTCTAAAAAGCATTTTGCATTTTGCATTTTTAAATGGAAAGGTTACTATTTTGCATTTTCTATTTCAAATAGGTTTGGACACCCATTTTGCATATCCCTGATAATTATAATATATTTAATTGTCTGTTGGAAGCAGGGCGCTTACTATACCTCCGCGGGATGCAATTTAGCGTTAACTATGCGTCGAGAAACAAATTCGTATAATGGGTCATAATCTGTAATATATATTATTAACATCGCGCTGAGGAAGAATCAAAAGATGATCCGTTCGCTTTTTGTTATTGTAATATGCATTTTGTAATAAACTAATATTGAAAAAAGAAAGAAGTGTTGTTGCTTCTCTGTGCTCCAACTACCGCGCGTTAGTTCTTATGCCATTTTCTTTGAAATTTTTTTTATTTATTATCTTTATCAACAACTTTTATAATATGATTTTTATCAACAACTTTTATAATATGATCTTCGTAATAGATCCTTTTAAATTATTTAACTTTTTCTTACTACGAAACTATTGCTCTTTAAAATAAACAAGTATATTCAAAAATATTATGCAAAAATAGTCTAGTAATAATAAATGATCAGAGAATTACTACGCTTCCGGGATAATTAAATATTCTTAGAAAAGAAACCATATCGATTTGTAACGCTTATTTTCTCGATTATTGATTGCCATGAGTTTATCTTTTAAGGAAGTGCACGTAGGCTTTTTAAAATTATACCGCGCAATTCGCCAATTGGCTAGTCGGCATACACGATAAATTACTGAGCATGCGCGCGTAGGTGACGGTAGGACGGGAGACTCCCGTCGGGGAGTAGACAAACTAACGCTCGCAATTTTTCAGTTTACGCCGTACGTTCGGCTTAGGAGGTATGATTGTTGTGTGTGACGCGGAGTATACGACAAAAGCCTGAACTCTTGTGCGTGTGTATCACTTACGCGTGCATGACTTTCGTCTCGCATCTATGATCCAGAACACGTAACGACAACACGAATATTCCAGACTCCGCGGATGTCGCGGGATTGACGGATGAACAGTCAGCCGGTACGCGTCTTGGTGGATGCGTCTTATTCTCGTGGTTTTGTCATTTGCTATTCATGTACCAGCGTGCATTCGCCACATTTCAAAAAATTCGTAAGTATCTTATCTTATTGATATAAAAGAATCACATGCAACTTAACCTTACATTGTTTTGATATCATGTTGATGTACAGTTTTATCTCGAAAAATAATATATCTATTTTATTGCTTAAGAATTACTCTCTTTTTATTATTTGCATTTTATATATATGGATCATTCCACGTCAAATCAGCCACCCCCGAAAATTGTATTGAAGTAAATTTAACTTCTGAGATACCAAAATTTAGCTTGAAATATCTAGTTTTTTATGCCGTCTGGCGATTTTGAAAAATGTCAAATAATGACCTTGGTTTTGTCAGTTAAATAAAAAAGGGTACCTATTTTCGTGTTCAAATCTTTATTATTTTCTTACAGATGAAGTACAAAATTCATTTTTAATGTAATTTGATCCGCTGGATCCAAATCTGAAGTCATATCAATACAAAGTTAGAGTTATTTATGTCTCGTAAATTATCTCATAAATAAATAAAAGGCGGATATTTTGTCGATGTTTAAAAACTGCCTGTTTCACATGTTTAAAAGTACAATAAAAATATTTAATTCTAGACAAACTATAATAAAAATATACAATGTAACAACATTCGTTCATTAAACAATAATAATAAACAATTATAATAAGAATAAAATGTAATAATTTAGAAGGAAAAAATAGAGGTTTAGAGCAAAAATAAACAAAATAAATATTTTATACTTTATCTTTTCTTTCTGTTTTTATTGCTCTTTGAGTGCTCTTTATAGGATTAATTAGCGAAAGAATAATGTCGGATCCATCCAATTGTATTCGCAATTTACATCGGACGAACCACTTTAATAAGCAGTATATTTGTGCAATATTCACTATGATTTAACTTTATTTTATGTTTATTAAACACTGATAAATTATAAGTAATAGAGACACTGATAAATTGTAAATAATAAAGGCTTTAAAAAGAAATAATTTTTAATATAAATAAAACTTTCGATTAAAACTTTGATGTCACTTTAAACACAAAGACTATTTTTTAGCGATATTTTTCAATAGGGATTATCAATATTTCTAATAATGTATGTGTGTGTATGTGTGTGTAATAAAAATAATAATGAATTTTTATTCATCATCTCTTGTGCAAAGCTATTAAATTATAACAAAGAATTCACTAATAAGATTTGTGATGAAATATATTGATTCTGAACTAGATTTTTTCTTCAGAATTATATCTTACATATTACATATATCACATTTATCATCCATCACGATAATATCACATATATCACATTCATAAAAATTACAATATAATCATACTACATAATAATATATAAAATAAATCACGATATTTTTAATATTATATATGTATTGTATTTTACAAAGCAGTTCTGTAATTATTCAAATATTTTGATACGTAAACAAATGCATAATCATTAGCAAACAATAAAATATAATTGTATAATTTACAATTTCTAAAATAATATATCTTAATGTTGTTCCAGCTTTATAAATGTAAAAGAGAATATATTTTTCATATAATTTATATAATTTTTATATAATTTATACTATAATATATTTTTCATATAATTTACATTATAAAATATTTTCTCCGCGGATGAAAAAATAAATAAATAAATAAAGATTTCACAAATAATGTGAATGATGTATATTTATATACGTTTTATATAATACTACATAATAGCAAACAATAACTATCATGTTTGCGCATACTATACCGCACAGTAGCATTGAATATCTGTAATTCGCTTTGTAAGTGGCTTTGTTCGGTGAGAACGCGTGTGAATATGGATAGAATGTGTTATGCACGTGTGAATCATTTCTTTCATATACGCTCATGAACAACTTCTTCCTATTTGAAAAAGCACGTGCAAAGGAAAAGAAAAACACATTTATAATAGAAAATGTAATCTCGAACCATCTTTCGCGTCATTCTAAAAAAAAATAATAATTTGTCTTCGCAAATAATCTTATTGCATAAATTTTGTCGATTTTGTAATAATACATAAAAACCAAATCAATAATTTTTAATTCGCAGAAATATGAACGCAAATCTTGTATTTCTGGGGTGCACACGATAAATAGTTCATTTTGTATTTGAATTTTAAAATTTTAACATATGTATATATGATTAAAGCATTATACATGATTAAATCATTAAGGATTTAAGAATCATTTCGTATTTATTTCAAATTACAAAATATAATATTATACTAGAGCAAGCCTTGAAAAATATGTGTGATACAATATATAATCTAAATATTTATATATAATAAATCGCGCGTATGTGCTACGTGGTCTGGAATTCAAAGTAAAGAGAAATTCTTGAATCGGGAAGCTCTTCTATCTAATCATGAGATCACGTACACGAACCCATAGAATAAATACTTTTTTAGTTTCTTTTTTATGATAGAAAGAAAGAGAGAAAGAAAGAGAGAGAGAGAGAGAGAAACGCGTTTTTGTATGTAATATTATAATCATGATATTATGATATATCACACTAAATAGTATGATATATCACACTGAATATCTGTAAATTTTTTTATATTTAAATTTTTGCAATATTTCCGAAAAACCAATTTTTATTTTTGCAATATTTCCGAAAAATCAATTTTCAATATTTATAATTTTTATGGAATATTTTGTATTATTCTATTATTTGATAATAAATTAAATAATATATATGCAGAATCATTAACATCTCTAAGTATTTAATATTATTAATTTTTCTCTATAATGTTGAAATCTAATTTTACAATCTCGCTCTGATTTATAATTAATGTAAAAGATGAACATACTTCATTTTCATGAAAAAATTATGAAGGAAAATTACGTTTGAAATCTCAAGATGACTTTAGAAATGTTGATTAATAGTCAAGTAGCGATGATTTAGATATAGTTCTCGAGTTGCGGTATAAACTAACTGGACACAAGCTTGGACATTCGTTTGAGCACGTTTAAATAGCAAGCAGATGGTAATTTCACTTTGATAACGGAACATCCAGCAATGTACACCTGCAGTGATATCACACAGTCTCATCACATATGCATGCGTTGCTTTATTATTATCTAGATCTTTTAATTGCACAATAAAAATTAAATGCAGCGTCCATGAATCTTTTTCCGATTGTTTTTCATCAGAATGAACAGTGTGTAGCGTTCTATGTACATACGTATTCAAATGCGACATCAAATAATTTGGCTGTTTATTACGAATGTATGATTAGAATAATGATGCAAGAGCGATTACATATTTGTGTTATATTGTGAAATAATTTTTTTTACAATGATTTAAAAAACACTGTAACATTACTGCAAAAAATTTTTTGATAACGAATGTCTATGTAATGACTGATAAAATGTACTACTTTGACGCTATTAGCAAGCATTATCTACAACAAATTGCACATTCATTATGAATATATTTATATTAAAATATTAACACGATAAAATACTGAAATATACTAGCTGGAGTAAATAAAATACGCAGTAAGTAAAATTAATACATTAGATGCAAACAAAATAAATTCTATGCATTAGAAAATCAACTTTTTTGAAATTTCAGAAACTTTATATGCTTCATATGTCATAAAATTGCATATGCAAAATATTAAATAATTTAACAAAAATTAAGTTAATTAAAATAATTTAATTAATAAATATATATATTCGTCAATAAATTTATATGTTGTGTATCTAGATTTGAATAGTTGATTTAAATTTAATATATAAAATACCTATATGTGTTAAAGTATATTTCAGATACATATTTAAAAAAAACGATTCTGAGGGTCTTATTTAAGTTACCGATGGCGATGGTACTCAGTGACGTCACGTTAAGAGAGAGCGAGGTGTTTAAGTAGGTTATAGAAGACGCTGTACTGAGAAACGATTGGCTATTGGTCGCAAAACGTATAGTAATCATAAATGAACCATCGATGAATCAAATTTACTCGATATTGTGAAAAAAGAGGTCTCAAAAGAATGCCGACAATTGTTGCTCAAAATTTTCCCAATTCAAGATTGAACTTCATTTTTTGCTTAAAATAAAGTTTATGATACATAGTATATTACAAATATCCAAGTTTCCAGATGAACCGAGTCATTTCAGAGAAAACGACCAGTTAAATAAATATTTTTTATAAAAATTGAAATTTTTTTATAAGAATGAAAATATACATTAAACTTTATCTGGAAATTTGCAATTTTTATCTAGAAATTCTACGTATCTATCTAGTAATCTACGTATCATGAACTTTATTGTAAGCTAAAAATAAAGTCCAATCTTGAGTTGAGAAAATTTTGGCACTAGGCCTATGGGCACTTGCATTCCACGTCATACTTTACGTCAAATTTTAGGTCACCTGCCCTCTTCGCGTGCACGTTAAGATACAAAACGTATAAAGGATAAGAAGAACCTTCATTACTTCAAGCTCTTCGTTGCTTGTGACAGTCAAGGAAAATTAAATTACATTAAAAAACATTAGAGATTACATTACAATTTTTGTATTTTATCAAACACTTTTTATATTTTCGCCTTTCCAGTAAAAAGATCTCTATTATAATTTAAGACAACATACAATTTTATTTTTACTTTAAAATCAATAATAGGGTAGATGAATAAAATGCTTATGTAATAAGAGACCGGAAAGTCACGTTATTTAAACGATCGCATCGTGTTACAAAATTGTAAGATAAACTACTTGAATTTCGCAAGCTAGATCAAGCCAAGCAAAAAAAAAATATGAATGTAATCACGTTGTTTAGATAAAAAACACGGATTATAAAAATGTTTATCACTAGTGTGAAGCAAATAATCGTTAAAGGTTTTGTTTCAATATATTTCTCTGCGGGAAAGATAAAAATAATCTTTAAATAATCTTTATCCATTTATTAATTCGATAAAAATAATCTAATTTATTTATAATAATTCTATAATCTAAATATACTCAGACATTATAAAGCGAAGCAAATCATGTCATAATAGATACAATAATGTGTTTAAATGAG